CCCGGCTGATTTTTTGATTTATTGTAGAGATGAGGTCTCGCTGCCCAGGTGGGTCTCGAACCCACGGGCTCAGGCAATCCACTCACCTCAGCCTCCCAAAGACATGGGATTACAGGATGAGTCACCGAGCCCAGCTCTGTTCACCCTTCAATGGGTCCTGGACCTTTTCTAGTCTCCTCACACGCCTCATCTTCTTCCTGCCAGTTTCTGTGCACATTCTCCTTTCCCTGGAACTATTTCACGTTCCTTGTCTAGGGACATCCTACTCGCCCTTCACCTGAGCTCAAACATCACTTCTCCAGGAAGCCTTCCCTGACCACCAGACCAAGTCACCCTCCCCTACATCCTTGTTCCAGAAACACTTCCTTGCTCTACCATTTCACTTTGCTGTATGAGTTGACTGCTACCTGCCTCTCCCTCCCACTGGGCTGTAAGGCACCATGAAAGCAGGGCTCTGCCTGCCTCTGCTCATGGTAATCAGCACATGGCAATGCAGCTGGTCTATATAGGGGGATGTGTGTTTGTCAAGTGAATAAATGAACAGCTCTGAGGAACAGATGACGGCCTCATTGTTCCGACGGGGAAACACTCAGAAGAGTCACTTGATCACAACGACTCAACAAGGAAGGTGCAGAGCTGGCCCTCACTCCCTCACTCCCATCTGCCCGGAACCTCTTTCTCAAGTTCTCCTCCAGCCCACGCTGCCTGGCTTCAGTGAGGCAGGGCTGAGTCCCGCATAAGAATGACTTCTAACAACGAGCGTGAGAAAGAAGTTACCTGGATACCAAGAAGACAGGCATTCAAAGGAAGCAGGCGACAGACCAGGCACCTGGAGTGTCACAGGCAGAGGGCAGCTCAACTCGTATTCCCAATTGTCAGGTCATGGCCCAGCAGTGAGTTACATTAATCTGATGGGTGCAACAATATCTTAAGATATTGGCTCGGAGGCTCAGCCTGTAATCTTAGCACCTTGGGAGGCCGAGGCAAGAGGATTTGCCTGAGCCCACGGGTTCAAGACCCACCCAGGCAACTTGGAGAGACCTCATCTCTACAATAAATAAAAAATTAGCCGGGCGTGGTAGTGCACACCTGTAGTTCAGGCTACTTGGAAGACTGAGGCGGAAGAATTGCCGGAGCCCAGCAGGTTGAGGCTGCAGTGGCCGGGAGCGTGCCACTGCACTCCAGTCTGGGCGACAGAGTGAGACTTCAACTCAAAAAAAAAAAAAAAAGAACCCACTCCACCCCAGAAAAACCAAGGAAGAACATGCTTATTAAGCTCAGAGACTCTGCTGGGTGCAGTGGTTCACAACTGTAATCCCAGCACTGTGGGAGGTAGAAGCAAGAGGATTGCCTGAGCCTAGGGATTCGAGACTAGCCTGGGCAACCTGGCCAAGACCTAGTCCCTACAGTAAATAGCCGGGCATGGTGGTGCACACCTGTAGTTCCAGCTACTTGGAAGGCTGAAGTGAAAGGATCGCCTGAGCCCAGCAGGTCGAGGTTGCAGTGGCCATGAACATGTCAGCCTGGGCAACAGAGTGAGACTCTGACTCAAACAAAAGAGAGAAGAAAAAAAATCAATAAAAAAGCTCAGAGACTCAGCAGGTGAGCACGTGGTCCACCTAATACACATGAACCCAGAGGGCTAGAAGGCAGGAAAGGAGCTGCGGGGGGCTAATACCACCACCTGGGTGTGCCCAGGGAAGATCGTCTTGAGTACCATCAGCCAACTCTGCAGGATTCAGTGCTCAACAAGCACGCTTGGAGAACAGGACCTCAGCCCGAGGCCCAGTATGGAACCAATCAGATGGGCCCACCCTGAAACAGACTCATCCAGGACCATGTACATAAAGCAGCTGGTTGTGGCACACCATGCTGGCCAGCACAAGGAGACACAAAAGAGACCCACCTGCACCATGACTCACAAGAAAGAAACAAGTAGCAGGGCTGTCACTGGGCTGCCCAGTGCTTGACAGCTTCAGTTACCAGGTCCTCTAAGTCCACTGGCATCACATACTTCTGAACTCAAAAAGACACCTGTGATTCGGTATCAACAGGCCCCTTAATGTTTTCGGAAGCTCAAATGTATTGCTGATATTTGCAGCCAAACTGACCTTGTCTGAGGCGGTGAATGACAGACAATGAGGGGAACTAAACCTAGGAGGCTGAGGGCAGAGGCTGCCTCTGTCTTACTCTTGACTAGAAGTCTAGTACACAACTGGTGATCAAATAGGTACCTGCTGATCAGTGAATGGATGGACAAGAGCGAGAGCAAAAAGTATAGGCAGAAAGTCAAGTGTGGTGGCTCACACCTATAATCCCAGCACTTTGGGAGGCTGAGGCCAGAGGATTGCCTGAGCTCAGTAGTTCGAGATTAGCCTGGGCAAACATGGCAAGGGCTCATCTTCACAATAAATAAATTACATAAATAAATAAAATTAGCCAGGTGTGTGCTTGTAGTCCCAGCTACTTGAAGGCTGAGACGGGAAGATCACCTGAGCCCAGCAGGTCGAGGCTGCGGTGGGCCGTGAGCGTGCCACTGAGGTGAACTCTGAGGTTATTCTCACTGCCCAAATGAGGAAAATGAAGAGGCTGGTTAAGTACAGAAGTCGGCATCTGGTGGCCAGCTGGCCTATCCAGGCCAGCACCTCCTGCTCCTAGTCAGTAATCCAGAATGAAGAAGTGAGTGGGTGTGAGAAATACGACAGTGATCAAATAGATGAACTAGGAATGAAGGACGAATGTGAACAACAGAGCGGGAAGCTGGAAAGAGGCAGAGAAGAAAGCACTGGAGAGTGAAGAAGAGGGAAGGACAAGCCACCAGGCGCAAGGCCCCCAAGAGCCCAGCAGGGCAAGTCGTGCTCACCTAGCCGCCGGGGCCTCCAGCCCTTCACAGTCCGGCCCCTCTCCACATCCACAAGGACCCTTCTGCCATCAATCTTCTTGCCATCTGCGTGCTTGTAAGCGGCTGCAACAGATGTGGGGAGGGGGAAGGGGAGAGGAATCCCCAGAGGGTCCTCTAGTCAGGACAGGCCAGTTCTGCAGCATCCCCACCCCCACATGTCCCCACCAGTACACACACTCTCCACACGCCCACCAGACAGCCAGGCAACTCACAGCCAGACCAACCCTCTCCCAACCCAGTGAGGGGCCTGCTCCATCTCTGCACCGGCTGCCTGCTTAGCACCCTTCAGTCATGACTGAGGGGTGAGACATCCACCTCCAACCACCAACCCTCTTGACTCCCAGGCCCTTCCTTCTCCCATGTGATGGAGCAGCCCCCTCCTTCCAGGGCGGCCAAAGTTGCTGCAAAGAAACTGAAGGTTAACTCAACGCTGGTCTCTGCTGTGGGGGAGGGGCTCCTCCACAACCCCAAGCATGCACCCTACGACATCATGCTGGAGCAGGAGGCCCAGCCAGGACACTCCGCACCCCAGACCACACCGTATGTTTTGTTTTTTTGAGGGAGGGTGAGTGTGGGGGAACAGACATCAGAACAGAAAATGAACCAGAAGGGGGTGGGAGAAATCTTCAGGAAATGGCAGGGAGCACAAAGGCGGGTTGTGTGCTCCCAGGGGGCCTGGAGGGGCCCCCGTAGCAGGGGGAGAGGAAAGTGGAGGGAGGCAATGGGAGACGTGCGGTGCTGCTGAAATCCCTGCCTTACCTGAGACGACTGACCCTGCCACCCTTCCACCCAGCCCCGCCAGATCTCGCCCTCCACACCTGCAGCTCAACAAATGCTGGGAATCCATACCCAGCCCGAGCCTGCCAGGGAAGGGCGAGGAGAGGAGGAGACCAGGGAGAGGTTCGCCGCTGCTCTCAGGCAGGGCACAGCAAAGGGCAGGCCTGATACCCTGGCCTGTAATCACATGAGGGTGTCGGGAAGGCCAAAAAGTCCCTGATCCCCCCACCAGCCCTGGCCTGGGGGACTGTCCTCAACCAACCACAATACCCTGCCCCGCCCCAGCCCGTTCCCCCCCAAATAACAACCAGAGGAAGAGAAAAAGGTGCCATTTACCGATGCCGGCCTTGCGGGTGTCCAAACCGAGCGGGATGGGGGGGGCTCGGCAACTCCTGGGGGCCTGGCGAGGAGGCGGGCTTCCCGGGGGGGGACACGGGACCGCTTACCTGGAGCCCCCAAGCTTACCTGAGCACGCGCACAGACCCCACACCCACAACCATGAGGTCAGCTAAAGCTACAGGGAGGGGAAGTGGGAAGTCTAGGGAGCCACAAGGAAGAGGAACCACATCTCCTGCATCACCTGGAGACAGGCAGAGGAAGTGGCGGACCCCAAAGATACCTCAAGGAAGCCTTAGAAGGGGAGACAAGGATTAACATCAAATCTGGGAACTTGAAAGCCCTGAGACTATCTTGTTGGAGGTTTTTTAAAAAGGCTGGGGAGGCCTGAGAATACCTGCCTACCTCACAATCTCCAAGTCACACTCGACTAGGCACACGGCCCGCCAGGACCTGGAGTGGGTCTCCACCTCCACCTCCAGGCTCCCTCCCACCTGCCGCTTTAGCCCAGAGGCCGGAGGCCGGCACACAAGGCCCAGGAGACAACCTGTTCAGGCGGAGGGGCCGCTTGGCCCCTGAACTCACAGGAGGGGAGTGGGGAAAGGAATTAAAGGACTAGGACCACAGTCAAGCAAAGGAACCCAGCTCAGGTTCAGTGTCCCAAACCCCAAAAGAGACCCAACCCAGGAGGAACAGCAAAGAAAACATGTGATCGTGTTCATCTAGGCCTCTCTCTCTCTCTCTCTCTCTCGCTCGCTCTTTCCCTCTCTTTTCTAGACAGTGAAAGGCTCTTAAGTAAAAATCGACTACACCGTCAGCTGTTTGCAGCCTACCCCTCGATCCCTCCCATGCTCAAGCCCCAATTCCATGCATCTGGGGAGCTCCTGGCCGCCTCTGGAGAGCGGGTGGGCACCATAGCCAGCCCCTCAAGAGGCCTCAGCATGGTAAGACAGGAAGGGGACAGAGCACCCAGAAACTAGCAGCCAAAAAGACTCTCTAGGGCCACCACAGTAACAGCCCCACAGAAGGCACGGGGGACAGGGAAGGGAGGGCTGGAGGGTTCCACATGGAGCCCTGGCCCTGGTACACCCCGTCTTCAGTATTCCTGCCACCTTGCCACTGACGTCATGAAGCCGGGTAGTCGGGGATGGGTGGAGCCCAAGTGGAGAGGCTGGCTGCCTTTCCCACTGGGGCTCAACCTTCCCCTCCTGGGACCAGCAAGGTTCTCGGAGAGTGTGTGGATCGGGGCAGGAAGGGCAGAGGGCACCCAAACGAGGAAAGGGCTGTGGGTGCGGGGAGACGGAGGGGGCGGCTGGGGTGGGAAGAGGGATGCCTTGCTGCTCCTGAGCTGCCTGGCTAAGCTGGGCTGGTGTGCGGTGCTGAGTGATCTTACCCATGATACAAACCCTTATACCAACCATACACTGAGGTGTTGTAAGGGGAGCGTAAGCATCAGCTGCAAGCCAGCTGCGTGGTGGCTGCAGTGACAATAAGAACAGTCAATTAATACGGCGGCCCCTGGACACGCCGCAGCCCTGCCCGCCCACCCCCCACCCATCCCTACCCATGTGGACGCCGCAGCAGCCTCAAAGGGGGCTTCGGAGCTGTGGGGCAGGCGCCGAACACACCTGCAACCCTGCTGCCCACTGAGGAACCGGGTAGAGGGCCAGGGGTGGGAGGCGGAGGGTGGGGTGGCCCAGCCCCAGCTCTACTGGGGGGAAAAGAGGGCAGGTTCAAAGGCCAGTCCTCATTCCAACCTGGCCGCCCCTAACTCTGGTGGGGGGAATAATGGGGAGAAGTTCCCCAAAATCCGACCCCTCCCCCTACCTCCTCTGGCCCCAGCCCCCACCCAGTTCCCTCCTTGCCCCTGAGGTTCAACGTGTGACACTTACCTCCCCAGGTTCACACACACACACGTTGTGGGGGATTTGGTTTTTGTTTTTTAAAAAACACGTATATAAAAAAAAAAAAGATATATCAGAAACAAAGGGAGGAGGAGAAGAGACATTGCTAGTGTCAGGTGTGGCAGGGTGGGAGAGGGCACAGACGACTGGGAAGGGGTTGGGGCAGCAGAGAGGTGAGAGAGGGTCAGAGGGCAGGACCAAAGTAGGAGGTACTCACAGTGCATGTCTCGCTCATGCTCGTACTCGATGAAGGCATAACCTCGGGGCTTTCCTGACCGCTTACTGTAGACCATGTGTATCTGTGGGGAGGGTGGAGAAGCAGATGTCAATTCCGCCACAGGGAAGCCATCCCACCAAACACATGACCTGTGTGCAGGCGCTGGGTTGGGTGATGCTGATGACATATGCCTCAGGCCCTTTTTGTCCTTCAAGAGTCCCACTAGAGTCCCTTATGCTCTAACAGCAGGAGCAAAAGGCACAGAAGCAGTTTCCTGGAGGAAATGACACTTTAGCTAATACCTAAAGAACAGGTTGAGTGTGGTGGCTCACGTCTGTCATCTCAACATTTTGGGAGGCTGAGGTGGAAAGATCGCTTGAAGTCAGAAGTTCAAGAGCAGCCTGGGCAAGAAAGAAAGGCCTTGTCTCTACAAAAAAATTTAAAAGAAAAATTAGCCAGGCATGGTGGCACACGCCTATAGTCCCAGCTACTTGGGGAGGTTGAGGCAAGAGGATTACTTGAGCCCAGAAGTTTGAGGTTGCAGTGAGCTATGGCCACATCACTGCACTTCAGCCTGGGCAACAGAGTAAGACACTGTCTCAAAACAAAACAAAAAGAATGAACGGGAATAGCCGGGCTCGGTGGCTCAGCCTGTAATCCTGCGCTTTGGGAGGCTGAGGTGAGTGGACTGCCTGAGCCCGCGGGTTCAAGATCCATCTGGGCAACTTGGCGAGACCTCATCTCTACAATAAATAAAAAAACTAGCCAGGCATGGTAGTGCGCGCCTGTAGTTCCAGCTACTTGAAAGGCTGAGGCGGAAGGATCGCCGGAGCCCAGCAGGTCGAGTCTACAGTGGCCAGGAGCGGCCACTGCACTCCAGTCTAGATGACAGAGTGAGATTCCAACTCAAAAAAAAAAAAAAAAAAAAAAAAAGGAATGAATGAGCAACAGTGGTGTCAGCTTGTTAAGTAGAAGTGCAGTAACTTCAAGGTCCAAGGGCTTACGAGAAACAGAGGGGGCAGAAGGCAACTCAGAGTGGCTGGGATAAATTCTAATGAAGATGAGGTCACAAAGGTGATCAGGCTCCAGGGTCCCTGAGCGCCCCCAGGGCCCAGCCGAAGAACATGGTCTTTAAGGAGCAAGGAGGTTGAGCAAGGAAAGGCCCATGTGGGCAGTCTACACAGAGGCAGGGACGCAGGAGGAAGTTCCGAATGTCAACAAGACAGGGGAGTTTCATAGTAAAGAGAAGAAAGATCATGTATAGACACAAACTCAGTACCTGCGAAACCAGGGAGGTGTGAGAGAATATGGGGCGCTGCAGGTTGGGTCCTACCACAGGGATGACAGCAAGGGGTGGGGTGGGATGCAGTGGAGGTACACAAGGCTACATGGGTGGGGAAGGGCCCTGGAAGGCCATGCTGCAGCACCTGGACCTCTGCCCTAATATGCTAGGAAGCCATGAGAGGCTGTAAGCAGAGGAAAAATAAGGTCAGCCGAGTGTCATAAAGACACCCCTGGGGCCATGCTGAGCAGGAAGGAACTAGACAGAACAATGGTCTAGGCAGGACTGTTGGGACAGAGGGGGTCAGATGAGCCAGGGAAGACTTCTGGGAAGTGACAGCATTTAAGCCAATCCCCAGATGATGGCTAGTTCTCCATTCACATCACTACCACTCAGTGACCAGCTAACATCACGTATGCGTATAGTCCTGAGTTCACTTGGTCCTAGGACTTGAACCTTGGGACCCTACAGCCAACAAAACCCAGCTGAGATTCCAAACTGACCCAAAGTGAGATCAGAGTACAAGGTCAGGGTCAAGGCTCCATCAAAGAGGCCTTCAATACCAGGAAATCAATTCCTATGGAGGCTGGGGCTAGGAAGAGGCTGGGGATGAGCCCATTCAACATTCAGTATGGGGCTCAGAAGTTTATGTGCAGGATGGTCTCAAGCCCTTACTACAGTCCAGTGAGGTCTGTGCCCCCCTGGATCAGAGAACAAGAGAAGACACACAGCATTTAAGTGACTTTTAAATTAAGAGGAGAAATAACAGGAAAATACAAAGTCTCACTTTGAAACAGGAATTAGCATCTGTTTTCTAAAAAGGGCCTAAAGAACAGGCCAGGTGTGGTGGCTTAAAGTAGACAGTAGATAGTTCCAGCTTTGAGGGCCCCACATTTTCCTGCCTTAGAGCAACAGGTCTGCCTGGCTGTGTATCTTGATAAGACTTTATTTACAAGCCGTACATCTGCAGTTTGCAGACCCCTGCTCTAAAGCAACAACCAGCAGTCACTACTTATTATTTTACTTGTGCTACCCAAGGTCTGCAGTATGGAAGTACAGTCAGGAGATAAACCCAAGCCCTGAAATGATGAGGCATCCTCAGGGCTGGGACCCCTCTCTCTTTCAGGGTACAGCTGCCTCCTCCATGAACCCCCAATCCAAAATACCCAGAGCCACCTTCCCTGCTGGTCTGGTGGTTAGGATTCAGCATTCTCTCAAATACCCCGACCAAATACACTTACTCTTTTGATGGGTCCATACACCTCAAACTCTCTTCGGAGCTTGGATTCTGTTGTGTCGTAGTTCTACAAGGAGACAGATATAAAGTTAAATGGGAGAAGGCAGCTGTCCCAAAGCCCTTGGAATACTCCGGGGACTTAGCCTAGTCCTTTGTACCAGGCCCAGGCTCTCAGCAGCCTGGGGTTCCAGGAGTTGGGACCTGGGGACTCACCACTCTAGCCACGAAGAGAGTCTTGAAGGCATCACCCTGAGCATTGGGATCATTGTGAGGGTCCCCTGTGCAGGAAGAAGAAAATTTGAAAGCAGATGTCCACAGTCTTGGGTAGCATGACGAAAACAGATGGTCAGAGGCCAAGAAGGCAAAGAACTGGGGAAGGCCCCCAACTAGAGGAAAATGGTTAAGTGGACCAGGAAAACAGACCTGGCAACTTGGGCATGTCTCTCCGAACCTCAGTTTCTCTGAAGCACAGTGGCCTTTATCAGAGTGGCGAATAAATGATGATATAAGCTGAGCTGATGAGGGGATGCAGTAAGGCTGACTTCAAGCTGACAGGATGTGGCAGACCTAACTACCATTTCAGACCTACACATACCCCAAGGGCTCCATCCTCACAGATGCAAGGTGATCTGAGCAGTAGCTGGGCCCAAATAGGCCTTTCTGGAGAAGCAGTCAGATTCCCAGTTAAGTGCTGAGCTCCCGGCCTTAGGCAGGGTCACAGTGCCACCCACTGGACACAGACTGCAACTACAGCCCACAAGAAAATCTGAGACCAAGCCACCTTAAACCTTAAGGCTAGGTAGGAATGAGAACCAAGAGGAGAACTTTAGCAGAGTCCAACCCCGCTTTCTCCCCCATGCCTGTGGCCTCTAGGAGGAACCCAGGGCTGGTGCTGGAGCAAATGGGGAGAGCTGACTAGCATAAGAACAGATTCCTCCTTCAGCCTTGCTACTGCACCTCAACACTGAGGGATAAGTCTCCAAAGAGAGGAGCCAGGAATCCAGGAAACCAATTCCATAGCTGATTCTGCTGGGGAGGCCTGGGATTCATCAAATATAGTGGCCCCAGCACACATAATGGCCCCACGGCTGAAGGGGCCCTAAGGGCACTCTGCCCATAGCATAGTGAAGGCGTTTCTTACCCGGTATAGTGTTACTCTCAGAAGGCCCTATCACAGTCTCATATTCTGGGAGAATATGAGAAAGGAAATAACATGAATAATTTACTGAGCACATAATATGGTTCAGACACAATGCTAGGCATTGAAATTCATTTATCACCATTTTGCAAAGAGAAGCAAAACCAAACAAACCCAAGACACAACAAAGGAGACGTGTCAAAGGGCTGAGGCAGGCCAGACATTCAAGCTACAGTACCAGGCTCCTGTCTAGAACCCCACAGGGGTTAGCTTTTCAGGAAGATAGTGTGGGTGTTGCAAAAAGCCAGAGAAATCTAGTCTCAGATTTTTTTATTTTATTTTATCAGGTTAGTCTCACTCTGTCACCCAGGCTGGAGTGCAGAGGCACGATCATGGCTACTGTAGCCTCTACCTGCTGGGCTTAGGTGATCCTCCCTCCTCAGCCTTCCAAGTAGCTGGGACTACAGGTACATGCCACCACGCTTGGATTTTTTTAAATTTTTTTTGGTAGACGAGGGCTCATCATGTTGCCCAGGCTGGTCTCAAGTTCCTGGGCTTAGACAATCCTCTGTCTCCCAAAGTGCTGGGATTACACTGTGCTCAGCATTTTTTTTTTTTGTTTTTTTTGAGTAGATCTGTTTCTTAAGAGAGGGTTTGGCTACAAGCATAAAATAAGGGCAATATGACATAAAGAATTTCTTTCTTTTTTTTTCTGAGTTGGAGTCTCACTCTGTCACCCAGACTAGAGTGCAGTGGCCGCTCCCGGCCACTACAGCCTCGACCTGCTGGACCTGCTGGGCTCCGGCGATTCTTCCGCCTCAGCTATCCAAGTAACTGGAACTATATGCGCATGCTACCACGCCCGGCTAATTTTTGATTTATTGTAGAGATGAGGTCTCTCCAAGTTGCCCAGGCAGGTCTCAAACCTGCGGGCTAGGGCAATTCACTCAAATCGGCCTCCCAAAGCGCTGAGATTATAGGCTGAACCACCGAGCCCAGCCAAGAAAGTTTTTTTTGAGTCGAAGCTTCACTCTATTGCCCAGGCTGGAGTGCATTGGCACGCTCATGGTCACTGCAACCTCGACCTTCTGGGTTCAGGTGATCCTTTTGCCTCAGTCTTCCAAGTAGCTGGAACCACAGGCATGTGCCACCACAGTTGGCTAATTCTTTGATTTATTGTAAAGACAAGGTCTCACCAGGCATTCCGTTCACCTCAACCTTCCCAAGTGCTAGAATTATAGGCATGAGCCACTGTGCCCAGTCAATAATTTATTTTTTTTTTTAATTAGAGTCTTACTCTGTCGCCCAGGCTGGGTGCAGTGGCACACTCACAGGCACCCCAGTGTTGACCTGTTGGGTTCTGGTTATCCTTCCGCCTCAGCCTTCCAAGTAGCTGGAACTACAGGTGCGAACTACCACATCTGACTAATTTTTTTTTAATTGTAGAGACGAGGTCTCGCCAAGTTGTCCGGGCTAGTCTCGAACCCACAGGTTCAAGCAATCCATTCACCTAGACCGCCCAAATTGTTGGGATTACTGGCTGAGCCACAGAGCCTGGCCTAATTTTTTTTTTTTGGAGTCTCACTCCATCGCCTAGGCTGGAATACGGTGGCATGCTCATGGCTACCCCAGCATCGACCTGCTGGGCTCTGGCGAACCTTTTCCCTTAGCCTTCCAAGTAGCTGGAACTACAGATGCATGCTAATTTTTTATTTTATTGTAAAGATGAGGTCTTGCCAAGTTGCCCAGGCTGGTCTCGAACCCATGGGCTCAGGCAATCCACTCATCTTGCCTCCCAAAGTGCTGGAATTACAGGCTGAGCCACCAAGCCCAGCCCTAATTTTTGACTTATTGTAGAGACAAGGTTTCCCCAAGTTGCCCAGGCTGGTCTCAAACCCGTGGACTTAGGCAATCCACTCTACTCAGTCTCCTAATGTGCTGGAATTACAGGTTGAGCCACTAACCCTGGCCCAAGAATTTCTTTTCTTTTCTTTTTTTATGAGTTGGAGTCTCACTCTGTCACCCAGACTGGAATGCAATGGTCCCTCCCGGCCACCGCAGCCCCGACCTGCTGGGCTCCAGCGATCCTTCCGCCTCAGCCTTCCAAGTAGCTGTAACTACAGGCGTGTGCTACCAC